CTGTACTAATCTGATGTACAAAAATAAAGGGGAAAAGAAGGAACAATGTAGACCCCAAAAGCAACTGGGCTGTTGACTTGAACTTTTATATTCTGTATAATCTACTCTTCAAAAGATAGCACAGGGTGAAGGAAAAACTGTGAGAGCTTTACATGCTCTGATTCTTTGGCATGGTGCTCCAGGGTACGGAGTAGGGGTCAAACCACCAGATGTAAGGGTGTAAAAAGTAGGAGGAGTCACTTCTTTCCAAAAGTCTCTAAGCAAGGGCTTGCTTCTTTTAAGCAACAGAAATGAAGAATAACTTTATTATGCTGGGTCTTATCTTTCTGCTCTTCATCAAGGAGCCACAGAAGCAGAGCCAGACCCTAAGCAGAAAAGTTATTTAAAATAGATAGAAAAGCCAATCTTACACATACATGATGCTGCTGCAGATGTTTTATGGCAGTTTCACATGAAAATGTGAAAAACACTGAATCTCTTAAGATTAGACTACATTTGGGCATACTGTTTTATAAGCTGCAGAACACAAAGCCCATTTAATTTTATGGTTAGGTTGAACAATGTGTAATCTTTGTTTTACTTATGCTATACTTACTAATGCAATCTATCCAGCAAATAAGTCTGACTTGATTGCTTAATATTTTGCTATATTTGGATAATATTGTAATATTTCTAGCCTACCAATATTTTCCACAGTATTTTGCTGATTTTGTTACTTCCTTAATAGAAAATCAATGCAGTAAGTTCTCAAGAGTTATGATTATTTTCTTCCTTAGGGCAGCATAGAAAGATTAAAATTACTGTTTGAGAGAAGACTGAAGCTAGTAAAAATTTTTTGGTTAATTTTTTCAATAGCAAAGAAAGAAACAAGTTTGATCTAGAGGCCAGACTAATTTTTATATATGTGGTACAGTATCTATTTAGAACCATAATAGTGGTAGATGATGTTAGATAATAAAAATTCCCATGCATTTTAAAATAGCCATAAGGAAAAAAAAAACCAAAAAAGCATTTAAGTACACTCGGTTTCTCTAAAATACTGAAGATTTTTTAGAAAACTTCAAGGTTTCTTGATTAAATATGAGTGCTCAAAAAATGAAAGATATCATTACATAAAAGTCATTTGAGGTATTATTAATTTCTTTTTTTTTAAGCAAGAGTTTGAAATAGTGTTATTAAACCAAAATTATCATAATTTTGTACAGTTTTGTGATCTCAGTCCTGAAGCTTCAGTTTAAGACAATCAGCTGCATGTAATGGCATTTTCTTGAAATGCCATTTGACTAGGATTTTTTGGGATGCTTTTCAGAAATTATTCTTTCTAGGGAAAATCTGTAGTTGATTTCCAGGAGAGTTATTTTTAAACATAGCTCTGAAAAATATTAAAATATTTTCTTGGTTTTGCAATGAAAAATTATTTCAAGAAAATTAAGTGGATGAAATTATTTGAATATTTAAACAAAATGCATGGGATCCATAGTGTAAGTGTTCATAAGTATGCAATGATTAAATCTATACATGAGTAAAGTTATTGAGGAAATGTGAAGTTTTTTCATAAAAATGGAAATGCAAAGATACATTTCAGATCATAAAGAGATATCCGTTTTTTAGTGGTAAATTTTAAGAGATAACATAGGGTAATTGTCTATTTCTTTTCCAAAAAAGATGACCAGATGATTTTTGGACTTTAATAAAAGATAAATTAGTACAAGAAAAAAAAATAAATTCTTTTAAGAATTTATATCTTTACAATGTTTGAGAATTTCAGAAGAGAAACTGATAGGATCAAAGTATGTCAATATAGATTTGACATTGCATGGAATCTTAGAAGCTATCCACAGTCATAAAAGTTCCTTTCATATTTTTTGACCAAAACTTTATAATTCATATTTTCCTCTTGGACATAGGACTGAAATTCTCTCTCACTCAATAGCCACATGGTCATTAATAAAGTTAACTGCATCTGAAATAAACAGAATCATGCATTTATGAGTATTTCTGTTTATTTATGTGTCCATATATTTTCAGTGTGCAGTACTTGAACTCTCATTCCTCAACCCTTTTCTTCTCAAATGGGAGTGACTATACTCTACTGCCTCTAACTTTTAGCAAATTTCAAATTTAGCACTTCTGCTAAATAGTTAAATTCTTTTCATATCCTATTTTTTTCATTCCCAATTCATTTTACCGCATTTTTAGAAACAAATATGCAACACATTCCTCAGCTTGAAAACTTTTATTTTGACAGATTCAATGTCAGTGAACTGTTTTAAAGATGCTTACTATTGTTAATGCTGCAGAGAACATAATACAAAAAAAAAAAAAAAAAAAAAGAAAAAAAAAGTAAAGCATATCTTTATGTGACTAAAAAGTATTTTTTTGTTGTTGTTCAAACATGGTATTATTTATAACTGTGCTCAGGGTTTTTTTAAAGATTCTATGCTGGTTACTCAAGGACAAGTTATACATCTTAAAATTGGCAGATAAATAGGTATGCCCCTGAGTATTCCTTCTAAAATTAATTAGAAAATTAGAATGCAATTAAAGTTGAGAAAAAATAATAAATTAGATATTAAATAACTTCTTAGACATATTTGCATTCTTCTTAAGTAACAGTGCTTTTCAGAGATGTAATTCTTTAATTCATCATTACAAAGCACTTAATGGTGTTGCTTGGTCATCCTTAAATTTCTTGTATCTTTTGCCTACTGAATTCAATTAAGCTGCTACTCAATACCAAGAAGAATAACAGAACATGTGATTTAATATTTACATGCTGCAAATCAAGATAAATAATGCATCATATGTATTTTATATATGACGATGTTGTGCTCTACCTCTGTATACCCAAAGCAATTTAAATAGGGCAGAGGTTATTAAGTTTCACAAGTGTATCTGATTTAAATGGAAGGACCGTGGCTCACTGAATATCTCATTTTATATGATACCATAATTCAATGAGTGACCTCCAGCACCACTGATTTTTATAGACCTTGGACATGTTCAGCATTTCCTGGGTTTCCCAACTCTTTGCAAGATGGAGCCGGGAGGAAAAGCTCATAAAAGAGAAGTAAGTGTTATCTGTTTCACAGACCCAGTTTCTGAAAACAATTCAAGGAGGTGACCATGCCTCTAGGGTGCTGAAAATCCCTTTGCAAACCATGACAGCAAAGAATTTGATTGCAAATCCAATAGCAGACCAGCACATGACCAAACTCCATCCTACAGCAAGCTGAAGCTACACTTGATAACATTTTCTTCAGCTTTTGCCAGAATGACAGGAAATTTAGTAAAGCATTTAACTCCTCAAATTAAGACAATCAAAGGCTGAAATTGCAAGGCAGCTCCTACAGACAGTGATTTCAGTGGAGCAGTGTCAAAAGCTACAATTTTTAAGACAGAAAACTTGGCAGTATCTATGCTGGTTGAGACACAGGGTAAAGGGCCAGATCATTTTCATCCATATCCTATCACTGCTTGGCTTGGTTTTTGATGTTGATACCTTCTATAAAAACACATTTCATTTATACTGAGATATTAATAATTTTGCCTTTCCTTAACAAGCCATGTAATTAACCTATTAGTCCTGTAAAATGACCAATAAAGTAAGCACAGGAGGAAATTTGCTTGTTTCTAAAATTAATTGCTATATGTTATGTTACATTACACTTCTAAAAATGAAGAATTCTTCTTCTGCAAAATTGGCAGTTGTCATTAGTTTACAGTTAGTTGGTTGGTTACACTTACAGTGAAGCCTGAAATAATGATTGCTTTAATAAACTCTCAACTCATATGCTTACGCATGTTTCAGTAGCATTTAACACTACTAAATGTTGGCACTATGCTTCAAAAAATACAAAAGTAAGCTTCAGCTCTTACTGACTTTTAATGTTTAGGGATTAGCATATTTACTCATCAAAATGAGGAGGTTTTTTAGAGAATAAGGATAAATTGCCAAAATATAGCAAGCCTAGGATACATTATGAGAGGTAGGTTTGTTTATACAATATCTGAGGCACTTTCATATTATTTTAATGCATGAAGTAAGATGTTAGCTTTAGAAATCTTTTTACTAGTTTCCCACATTCATGATGAAAATTCATCTCTCTAGTAATGTCCAAAAAGATAAGTGATATCATTATACTAAATGTCACATTCATTACATGCAGGAAGGAGGGTACTGAAAAAGGTCAATTTGTCTGCAGGGTTCCACTTTTACTGTATATACCCAATTGTCATAATGTATAACGACTGCATTTTTTACAAATTGTCAAACAACTTTTGTTCCCATCACACATTAAACATGAACTATGTTCAGGATGGGCTGCATACAAAACACTCTTTTCACTGTTAAGATGCGATTAAGAAGGTACAAAACCTCTCAGCCTTATCAAAACAGTCAAAGTTGTGTGCATATTGCTCTTCCAATACTTTTGCCATAACGACTGCATGCAATCATATGAAAGAGTGGGGTGTACTTTTTTAGTTGTATTAGCAACAATTATATTTACCAAAATGTTTTCTCCTGAGTTAAAGTTCTGTTAGCCCAGCAATACAATAATTGTTTCTGAAGTTCTTTCACCCTGAAAAAATGACTTTCTGAATTCAGTCAACGATGTGAGTTTCTTTCATGAAGATTGTTTAAAATATGCTACTAACTAGTTGATACTTATGGTACATGCATATTCAGCAGTGCTATACAATTCTATTTTGGCTCACTGATTGGATGACTAGAAATTTTATAAATAAAGGATGGGGAAATCAGAGAGTTCTGAAGATAGCACATAGAATGGCATTTGTGAAATCACAAATATAGACATCAGCAGTACAGATATTTTCATGTTAGCTAGTTGTCAAGACTTTTTCACAGTGAGTGGAGTAAAATTGGCACTTTCAAAGCATGAGTCATCTCATCCTAAAATAGATGATTAAAATAGGTCAGATGAATCACTATGTATTGCTCTCTATTGACCTTGAAGAGAGCATTGGGTTACTAGCTAGTGTGTACACATATAAACTGCAGAACACATGAAGCTGGGTGAGAGGGAAACAACCCAGGATATCTCTGGAAACAATATTCTCACTACCAGATTTACGAGCAGGTATGAGAATAGTAGACTAATATTTCCTAAGGGGAAAAAAGAAAAAAGCTTGTTTGCATCTTTACGGCAAATAAGCTAAAAGAGAGTATATGTGATTTAAAAGGATACCCTATATCTCTGTGTAAAGCATTTGGATATAAAAGTATTTTCCTGGATCTAGAAGGTACATAAATACTTTGAAATATTATCATAGTGTTTCAGTACATCAAAACCATATATATTGAAATCAAATGTCTTTTGAGCCTCAACACCAAGACATAGTACAGTAAATGCTTCATTTGAGAAAATGCAACTACAAGATTTGAAATAAATTAATTTTGAAAATTCTGATTAGGTGATAAATAGCTTTGCAGTAATCTGCAAATTCTTCCAATGGAATTAAAATGTAAGCATGCAATGTAATACATGTACTGAGGTTTTGACTGAGGGATGTCATAACTGGCGCTTAAATTGTAACTACAAAATTCTTACACAGAATGCCTTAGCCTCTTCAAGCATCTCCTTCCATTAATTTACTGTTGTGCAGATTCCCACAAGGGCACTTTCTTGAAATCAAAATCCAAAAATCATTCATCCTGACATATCTGCACAGCTTTATCCCCAGACTATCAGAATAGAAAGAGAAAGAGTAAAGGCAGCATTATATGTCTGTGCTGTACCTTTTTTCATCTTCTTTTTCATGACCTTCAGGTAGACTTGAAGCCTGCATTCAATATAGATTGAGCTTTTTCTTGCTTTACTTCACCTTCAATTTACTTGTCATGATGTACTACATTGTTAACAGTATTTACTGCTTTGCTACAAATGAAGACCAAACTATTTCAAATCTGCCTGACTTTAATAGATCTTCTCCACTCAGATTTAAACAAAACTGTGCTAAATCTGATTTTCCTAAGACAAACAATGCACTGTCAATTTTGTAAGTCAAAAGGTGTTAAATCCACTCATTACCTTTGAAACATAATCTTAAAGAGTCTAAAATGGATTGAGGCAACAGTGTTATTAATTTTTCAGTGGCTCTTTACTTCCAGGAATTGTATAACTATGGCAAATTCTACAAGTTTTCTGAGCTTGTGTATACATTAAAAAGATAAGTAGTGTAACTTTGCAACAACTCAGGAAAAACACATCAGAAAAATGGAATTTCTAGGTGTTCTGGTTTTGTCTGTGTTAAAGTAAATTTTCTTTCTAGTACCTGGTACAGGGCTGTGGATGTGGGATTTAGTACTAGAATAATGTTGATAGCACCCTTATATTTTGGTTGTTGCTAAAGTGCTTAGTTTGAGCGAGGACTTTTCAGTTTCCCATGCTCTGCCAGTGAGGAGGGCAGGGGAAGCTGGGAGGCAGCACGGCCAGGCCAGCTGCCCCGAACTGGCCAGAGGGATATTCCGTAGCACAGAGCTCAGTGCATGAACTGGGGGGAGCTGGTCGGGAGGCACCGATCGCTGCTCGGGGACGGGCTGGGCATCAGTCAGTGGGTGGTAAACAACTGCACGGTGCATCGCTTGTCTCCCTTGGGGTTTATTCCCTTCTCTGTCTTTTTGTTGTCTCTCTTTTCATCATCATCATAACCATACCATCATTATTATTGTATTTTATTTCGGTTGCTAAATTGTTCTTATTTCAATCCATTAGATTCACCTTTTTTTTTTTTTTTCCAGATTCTTCTCACCATCCTACTGTGAAGAGGGAAGGGAGCAAGGAGCTGCATGGTACTTAGCATCCAGCTGGGCTTAAATCATGACACTAGGTTAGAAAAGTGTTTACAAATTAGAATAAAATTTTCCAAATACATGTGAAGTTGAGAGAAAGTGAAAACATTTGATCTCCATATTTTCAGCTATTTTCTGGCTGAAAACAAAAAGAAAAAAAAAGAATATATAATCAGAAATGGTATTTCAGTTCTTAGAATTTCTGAAATCAGTTTTTTATAAAGCAGTTAAAATTAAAAAAAAACTATTTAAAAACCTTCTTCTTACAGAAATTATTGTCCTCGGTCCATGCTAGTTAGCTGTTTTGGTAATACAGGCTTAAAAAAGCCAAGCATAACAGCTAGATATAGGAATCCAGACTCATGTTTCATCGTACGAACCTGAGTAAAACCTCTACCATATGTCCAGCATATCATCTTTCCCATGCATAACTTACGTGCAGTTTGAATAATATTATTGGATGCTGAAAGTTTCTAGAGCATAGTGTATCAAATACTAATTCCATATGTTAAGCCATGTTGTTTGCTGATAGTTTTGTAATCAATGGTTGGGAAGAAAATAAATTTGTCAAAACAATGGAGTATTCTATAAAAAGGAAAAATTAAGATATTTTATGTAATTTGTTTTTGACAACCAAACTGAAAAAATTAATGTCTTTCTAGGGTCTGAATATCTTTATCATAGAAGTTCAAAGTCCACTAAAATCAAAGGCAGTTTTTCCACAACCTCACCAAGTTTTTCATTGAAATGTTGGTGTGCCATTCTGTGGCATTTTGATAACACCAGAGATTTGAGCAATCTCGAAATAAAATGAAAGAAAGAATGAAAATAATGATTTATCTAAGGAAACAGGCAAGATATCTTTGACAGAAAAAATCCTGACATACCCTCAAAGATTTATACGTCAGTGGGAAAATGGCCAATTTGAAATTAAAGAGAAAAATATAATTTTTTTTTGTCAAAAAACTACAAGAAGTACATGAGATACATAATCCTGCACACTATACCTGTCAGTTAAAAATAGCAACAACATATTCTATTGCAGAAGTATTTCATATCAAAAGAAATTCAAATCTGAATAGTTCCATGTATCCTTCTTAAGTAACAATGTAATTGCTATTGCTATGTTAACAATAGCAATAGCAATAATTTTTTTTTTTTTTTTTTTTTTTTTTTTTGGTAAGAAAAGGAGCTAGTATTTTGAAAGGAGGGCAAATAATTAGAACCAGCTCTGGAGGGTTCGCATAATAATATTTAAAAAACAGCTGCACTTTAGTATCCACCTGGACTAAGCAGCAGTCACTGTAATTTAGGTTAAATGTCAATGAAATTACAAGGTGGTATAAGCTTCATCACCGTTTCTGTGTTTAACATTTTAAACAGCAGCTCATTTGAACCTAAATAACAGTTTATCTATGCATGTTTCATTATAGAATGAATGTAAAACACAGACCTAAAAGCCTTAGTTTTGACCTTGTGCAAAATCATTTCAGAGCTCTGTGGAAATGCTGGCATTGCGATACGGACACCAAAAATGAGGTCAGTAAGGAGTCCCTATAACCCCACAGGTTATATTTTCAGAGAAGAAAAAACTAAAAGAAAGCAAAGAAACACTAAAGAGAAGAAATAATTGCATACAGTTAGCACTTTCCAAAGCTTTCCATTCCTAGAACTAACTTTGCATGATTTGACTCATCACCACACATCTGCCATTGAAGGAAATAATATCCACGGAACTACAGGAGGCATTTAGTGATTCAAAGGTAATAATAATATCCATGTAAAATTTCCTGGTTTTAAAGCCATGCGAGAGTGTTTTTCTGTGCAGGTGTTTTTTAGCTCCTTCCACCAAAGCAATTAAGTCTGACATCAAAGCAATTTTTTTCAGAAATACAAAGTATTAGCCAGAGGAGCAAGTAGATTCTGCCACAGCACTGTTCTGTCTGGATGAGTAGATGTTTTTCTCTATAACAACAAAGTCTATTCCAGAAAAATATATTCTCATGATAGAAATAAATTCTCCCTCTCTGCCCTCTTTTCACCTGCTCTCTCACTAAATCTCTCCTTCTCTCTGTAGCTCACCAGCTCCCTAATTTACCTCTCATTGTGCCGTAGTTGATTGAGAAAAACACTTAAACTGATGCATTTCAACCACAGTCCTGCTTCTACACCCGTCAGCAAGCTCAGTAAATCAGTCAGCCTGCCCTCATCTTCTGGAACCACCTCAGTTCAGCTCCATACAAAATAGTTATTCCCCAGCTCCCACCACTTTCTCCTGCAATCTCTTCAGAGAACCTAAAGAATTCTTTTTATGTAATAAATCCAGAGAATAAACAAACAAATCACTTCACGGCATCAAAGAGTTTTTATCCTTTCTACCTAGATAAGCAATTCATACCTCAGAAGATTTCCCCCCTCTATTTCTAGCATCTATTTCTACCTCTGGATCCACAAGGCTTGACAAAGACAGTAGACAGAGCTTTCCCAGCTGGAGTACAAAGTAATTTTATAGGCAATACCTAGTGAGTTTTTACTCTTTGGGACACATAAATTTACGATCTCTACTATCATGTTCTAAGATAGTAATATCCTGGTTTTGGATATTACTGTCAGGTGTGCACACTGGAGGGAGGGAGTAATGAACTTATCATTGTGCATTTCATACTGTTTTAATATAAAAAAACTTTGAAATTATTTCGCCTGAACAATTCCTGTTACTATGACTGTTTTAATCCCAGCCCAATGAAAAATATTTCTAAGAGAATTTCACTTTGCAGTTGTCTAGTCATCCAAAACACAGCTTTTCCAAGGACCTTGATGCACTGTTGTGTAAATATACGGTAATATTGATCCTGCTCCAGGCAGGGAAATGCACAGTGGGAAAGGAGGGCTTAAAACCAGGTGTTGTGGATTCCCCTCACATCCTGTCCTCCCTCTCTATACAAATGCATTCATCTGTGAGAGGCAGCAAGCCTTTCCCAAAAAGGGATATATCAATTTATTTTAATATGCATGGCTGGCAAGTAGAGTGTGTAAATAAGGAAGGTTGTATGCAGCTTTAAATATAGCAAAAGGTAGGAAGAAGCTGAGGTTAAGATCATTTTAGAGATTATAATAACATGATAAGCTTGATATTTATGGTACTACAAGGAAGTACTTTGGCTGGCTGGTGTATAGTTCAGCTGTGCAGCTTGTGTGACCAGACAAATTCTGGATCTTCAGAGCAATGGTCATTTACTTGGTTTATATAGCCCAAGATCTTATCATGGAGGCTTCCCCCCACTCACAATCAATAAAGCTCCTTTGCTGTTTTTCATGCATTTCATATACATGAAAATAGAGAAAGGAGAAGGAAAATAGAAAGAAATATATGAGGGATCATCAAGAGTAACTGTTTTGGAAACAGAGATAAATACAGCCTCTTAAAAGTGATGCAGGAGCAGGTGTTGATTGTTGTACATGCATTCAGCATCAAAAGTCGCTGCTGAAGACTTTATATAAAAGATTTTTTTAGGCCTAAGAACATTGGTTTCCATAAGCTGGTTCAAGACTGGTCTCCTGTTTGTTTCTTATAGAAGTTTCTACTCCTTTATTATATATAGAAAATGAAAAAAAATAATGTGATGTGTAAATGTTTACCAAATCAGGTCCTAAAAATATCTTTCCAGATCTCTTTTTATAAATACTCCACTGAAGAAGCAGACATATCAATTTTATAAATAATAGATGTATTAGGTTTCAAACTTATACAATGTGATGTGTACATAGGTCTTGTTGAAATTGCAGAAAATTTTGTCATTAACTCCAGTTTCCAAACAACTGCATGCTGAAAATATCAAACATATGCTCTTAATAGATCAGAGAAGAGTGAAGGAACACCAAAAAAAACCCTGAAATATATATTTTTTAAAATCAGTTGGCAAAGACAAGAGGACAAAATACCTGTCAAAACACACTGAAGAAGGAAAGAAGAATCCATTCACAACTTTAAATCAAGCCACAGGTTTTTTAGATCATGAATTCCAAAGAAGTTAATAGAATTTCTTTGATTCTAATTCATCTTTTGACATGTGCTGATTTGGCAGTTATTTGATTTCAAAGACTGATAATGTTTGCTCTTCCTAGGAAAATAATATTTTTTTCCTTATACCAGAAAAGCATATTCCTAACAATTTTTTTTCATGTTGACATCATTTTAAATGATTGCACCATAGGTGTCCTATATGTTCCATCACTTACTCAGACCTTGCAAGAGTAATAATTTATTCTACAGTCATCCAGAGACCTCTAATTATTTTGACTATTTTACATCATGTGATTAAGATGTATAAAATGTAAATGCTGCAAAAAATGTCTGAAAGAAGAGATACCTTTAATATCTGTATCCAAACTGTGTTATGCTAAGAAAGAACTGCACATACTTTACAAATTAATTTTCGGCTAAAGCGAAGATTTTTATCATCACTACCTTTTAAATATAAAAGGTTGTACTGATTTTTTTTAAATTTAATGTAATTTTAAGGTCTAAGTGAAATTTAGGAGTTATAGATAGTCTATTATTCCCTTTTAAAAAATGAAAAATTGCCACTGAAAAACGACAAAGGTAATAATCAAAGAACGTTTGCACTGTGTTGTGTCAGATGTTAGCTTGTCCTGAATCAAACTATACCACATGAACCACCCCACTGGTTTTCTGTCATTATTTTGTGCTGAAGTCACCTGTGATCCAAGAATCATTTCTAAAGAAAGAATGAGATTTCCTCTCCTATTTTTACATACCCACAAGTCAGATGTTGCAGTGAGTCACTCCAAGATGAATAAAGAAAATGGGGGAAAAGGTAAAATATATACATATGCTAAGGAGAGGTTCATCTGACCTATTTTAGACCTCTAGATATTTCTCCTTTCAGGCTACTTGCTGGACAGTAAATAAGCACACGGGAGAGGTGCAGAGTCTAGGAATTTAGGCCCTTCAGCTAGGAATATAAAAATGTGGCAGGGCTGCTGGTAGATATTTCTCCTTTCAGGCTACTTGCTGGACAGCAAATAAGCACAAGGAGAGGTGCAGAGTCTAGGAATTTAGGTACTTCAGCTAGGAATAAAAAAATGTGGCAGGGCTGCTGACGGGTCTCTGAGCCCCAAAGCTGGAGGAGTTTCAAATACTTCCAAATTTCAGGGAAGTTTCAAATAAGTGAAAAAGTAGAAAAAGTATATCTCTCAAATGAATGGAGCCCCTGAAGACAGGGGAAGGTCTGGGCTGAGCTGGTTGGTAAGCAGAGGTACCATGAGCTGTAGCACCTCTCTGTTCCCAACCTTATCCAAGGGCCTCCAGGGCAGAAATCCTCCTCACTCTGCACTTCTTACTGGTTTAAAACAGCAATTGTAGTCCATGACCAATTTGAAAGCCACTATGATAAACAACCGTAATTTTAATTTTCCTACAGTTATTTTGAAATGTTTGATACAACTTTTGATACAAATTTGGTTATAACTGAGGACTACATTAATACTGTTCTTGTTCCATAGATGTATACATATGCTGCACTGGATAGCTGCCTGGATAGCAAGAAACTGGGAAGAGTGTTGGGATGACCCCATCACCAGAGTAAGATCTCGTGTTATTTGCATGAGAGAAGGACAATTTAGGCTTAAATTTTTAAACACAACTATAAAATAAAAGTTGTGAACTCAGCACCTTTCATACTCTCTAAGTTTAAAATGACTTGACTTTCCAAAAATGATATAAAGAAGCTTGCACAATTCAGAACAGTTCTAAGGATGTGATCAGTTTGATGTGCTTCCTACAACATTCATCTTTGAAGTGGCTGATTGCATACTTTGTAACATTTGTTAGTGTTGCACACCTTATAACATTGCAATTATATTTGCTAGGTCTTCATTAAAACTTCTTTATGAAAAAAAAAGACAGGGAAAGCAAATTTTCTAATTTTTGATTTTTCAGAATCCTTTACCCAGAAAAGCAGACCACTATTTTTAGAGAAAATTTTCAAAGCAAAAGAAAATATTTTTATTACCTTTTATAAATTCTGTAAATTGTGTACTTTGAAAATGCAATTCAACTCTTTACTTTTTAAATCCTTGTTTAGCACTACCTCATGGATGGCATGGAAACAGGAAAAGAACAGCATGGCAAGTTGCCTGTATCCAACACAGCTCTGAAACTCAAGCCAGCTATCATCTTCTTTCAGATGTAGAAGCCTTCTTTTTAGTAGTAACTATTGAAATACCAGCACTAAGTGTTCTGTTACTCTTCTCAATAAGGTAAAACATGCACTCCATTCTCAAATTTACTTGCAAAAATAAATCATCTATTCTGGGAAAGCCTATCCATATAATTATAAATTTTTACACTGTCACAATATTGTGTATTGACCATGACTGTTCATTTAGCATATTTTTCATTCTCTGAATTGCTTTTTTGGCCATCTCACAGCTCTGTGAGAGTTTTTCTGAGTTGACACAGTACTCAAACTGGTAAATCTCAGTAATATTCTTCTGAGTAAATATGTCCATCAGATTAGACCCGGTCATTAACAGTCAGCAACTTTGGCAGCCTGCAAGCTAGTTTCATAGCAGTAATCACTGTTTCTAATTTGTGTTTGGTACAGTTTCCAGACTGTAAATTAACTTGTCAGATTCAAATGCTTCCCTAGTCTTTGTGACCCTTTCTGATACACTTTGAGAAATTGTTTCCATGTCTACTATCTCTTCTGACAGCGAGTTGAAGCAAGTCCCCCTTTCCAAGCACAATATGTCCCTTTTTTCCCCCACATTTCTTGCAAAAGTTAATTTTCTGCTGTAGATTTCATTGAGCATGAAAATAGTTTATGAAAGTGCTTTCTCTGATCCTATTTTTGGTAAACTACTTTGAAAAGTCCAAGATCAAATTTTCAGCAATGGTGATCTTCAGGTTTCTGTGATTTCAAGCTCACCTGCATACAAATGAAATGCAGCCATCCTTCCTTCACCCTCATTATTATTTTTTTATCTTCTTCCCCCACCTCAGTGCAGGTACAGGAGATGTATGTTGCTGTTAATACTTTAAAAAAAAAAAAAAGCACTCTTAATTTCTGAGTGCCAGACTTATGCCAACTTGAGACCCCAAAATTTATGCTGCATTTTAAAATTTTGGCCCAAATATAACAGGCATAAAAAGCTAAAAGCATCAGAATAACCAATCCATATTGTAAGCATTGCCAGGGTTACTTCTTGCTCTGCAGCATCACAAGTGGACTATGAAAATAAAGTCAGAGGCTCAGTCAGATCATACAGAGCTCTTTGCCAGCATCACAGAAGCAAAGATGGATTGAGGTAAAGAAATAGAGAAGGTTTAACTTAGGTTTTTCACAGTATAGAAGAGTGTTTTATCATGTGGTGCTTGGTGTGATGCAGGGTGCAGTCAGACAAGACAGATTTAACCGGTCTAATGGCTTGCTGCTTCTGAAAGGCCACTGCTCTGAGCCAGCTCTGGTGCTCATGCTGCCCCTCAGTGTGCAAATTCCATCCCTTAATCCAGCACAAAAAGGAAACAAGACAGACATTTCCTTTGTATTGGTGAATTGTATTTTCTCACAGAAAAAAATATGATCAAGACTACTCAAGTATGCCAAGGGAGAGAGTACATAGATAGATCAGGGATGGATGGAGGAGGTGGGGGAAGAAGTCTTTCCCTTCTTTTATCTGAGAACTCCTATGTCAGTTCACCGGTTTCACTTGTAGGCCCTTTCAAAGGATGCTGACATACCACATTTGTACTATCTGTGCTGAGAGCATTTATAAAGCACCCAGGAACTTGGGATGGAATACAATGATAGCATAAATTAGATGAGACAGATTAATTATTCTTAATCCCTAAATTATTTTTATGGAAATCCTGGGAGTCCAAAAGTTGGAAAGAGTGGTGTTATTTATTTATTACAAGTTTCATCTCAGCATCAATGGTAATTTTTACCATTGATGGCAAGGAAAGTTTGCCTCCTTGGCAAGTTAAGTTTGCCAGGTTTTTATGCTAAAGATAGAGGCTCAGGACTACCAAGAACAGAGCAATGTTCCTTATTCTGTACCATGCTATTCCCTACCTTGAATAGTACTCAGAGGCACAGCTGCCTCTGGACTACATGGGGCTTTTCCCCGGCACTGCAGAGACAAAGTGGTGACCAGCACTATCCCAGGAAAAGCAAAGACCTATGGGCTCCCAGGAGTCACACAGGAGAGCTGTGAACAGTCCAAGTGCACCATATTTGAAACAGTGGTGACTCAGCCTGATGAAATGTGTATTCTGATTCATCTCATCCAAAAGCAAACAACTAAATTAGGTCACATGAACAGCCCTTAAAGTGCCTGTTTCTCTCCAGTACTAGAAGGGAGCAAATGTTGTCTAATTCAGATGCATCCAAAACATCTAATCCGTAGAAATCTAGAATCAGCTAAAATGAATCCCACTTTGGGCAATAGTTTGGTGAAAGAACAACAGTAAAAATTGAACATAAAGTTTAGGTGGTTTCCTATGATAAAACGGTCACATTTTGTTTAAAGGAGAATATAACTCCCCATTTCTATACACAAAGATTTTCTAGGAAATAAATGTCAAAAAGAGCAAGCATTGTCCTATAACTTCTTCAGGCAGCCCAGGGGCAAAGTCCAGAAACAGGCCTGTAAACTAGTAAAGAAATGGGAGTTCTGCTTAATAACCCAGAAGGGAAAACAAACCCTCTAGGAAAAAAAAATGTTTCATATGGTTTGTTTGGGTTTTCTGAGTGCTTTACAACTTCCAGAGATATTAACATTATATTAATTTTCCCACATGGAATTCTGCCTCCTACACTCGGGTTTATTTAGAACCAATGAATTTTGTCAAGATAATGGGGCCCCTAATGCATTGGACAAATGCATATTAACTATTGTGTGTAAGAAATAATTCAAAAAAGAAAAAGAAAATTAAGAAAAAATTCTGGGATTATATGAGTTAAAGAAACACATATCAAGCTTCAATATTACATTTTTTCCCCCTATATTACAATGGTTAGGACATTTCAGAGAATAAATAAAAACTCTTATGAAGAGACACCTATCTAAATATCTGGTCCATAAATACATGACTTCAGTACAATTTCCTGAGTTATTTTCCATTGAATTCAGCTACTGCCATGACAATTTCTCCTGCTCTGCTCATATCTTTCTAATTCAAGATAATACAATACTGGGTGAGAAGGAATTGGGACATCCTGTTCTCTTTAGAATCAGAGGAGGCAATGAGACATGGGGAGTTTCGTACCTCCATGCAAATTAGATGCCACAGAGAGAAGTAGGTAACCCAGACAGACTTCCTGTATAGAGCAGGTCCTTACCTTTCCCTTCAGAAATTCAAACTAAACTAATTTTGAGAACTATCACCGTCTCTGCCACCCATGCCTGGAAGATTTCTTTGATCATGAAGAAAAGATAGCAGAGACATGCAATTCTGAAAATAAACCACCTTATTTCAGTTTCAAAATAATTTGACAGGTGGTACCCACACTTGGCCCCTATGGTACACCCCGTAATAGGAGATCTGCTTTGTAGCTCAGCAGTGGTTAAATATTCAGTCAATTCAGTACTGAAAGGGCAGTTTTTGGAAATTTCTCATTTGCCTTCTCATTGAAGGTCATGACTTTCCTACTTTTAATATAAACTATTGGCAGACTTATATAAGAAAATTACCACACTAATTCAAATTTGAGTTGTACTTGGAGGATTATTTCTTATTACTTTTCACTTATGAGATTTCTCGGGAAGAAAGCAATGCAAGACCAATGGCATTGAACCCGCACTGGGTTAAACAGTTAAAAACAAAACAAACCCAAAAATGTGGTGGTTTTCTTTTAAAATGAAATTATTAATGAAACTTGCAAAACAAGACTGCTAGAATTCTATTCTGACCCTCTACAAAATGATGAACCACAAGCAGGCTGGCACATGGTGAAAATCCCGGGTGTATCTGTACCAAAGTGGCCATTTCACATCCCTTCTTCTCACTGACATATATTTACAAATTCAAGTAACAGAAAAGGTAAAACTAAGGCTTGACTGATGAGCTCTTTAAGGTGATCTTGTCTAGGTGCCAATGAATGCACATAAAAATTGTCTCTACCCATGCAAAAAGTTTTGCACTAAATGGAGAATAGGCCAATATCACTTCAAATGAATAGAACACCATGACCGATCCTAAAATTTTTTTCTAAGAACTGTAATTGTGGCTTTTCCATCCATTACTGATAGTAGTTTTGGCAGTCTGAAAGCAATAAAACAATGTTAAAAAATACTCGAAAAATAACACTATCTCAGAAAAGGGTAAATTTTATCTGCCTTTTACAGAAACAAAGACTTAAGTATTATATGTGGTAAAAGTTAATGATATTAAAAACTGGTGGCAAAGTAAACTACTCTTGTTTAAAATTGTAAACTGAGGTATGATCATTTTGAAAAGGCAAATGAATATATTGTTTGAATACAACAAAACAGTGAGGAATGGAGACATGAATAAACAACAGGGAACCAAAAGCCAATTCAAGGGCAGAGAAAGAAGAACACAATGATCTGCATTTCTGCTGTGTCTCTGAGCAACAGCACTCAGAAAAAGCAGGTCAGCTCACCAGGTGGTAGGCTGTGCAACTGTTTGATGCTGAACCCTCCTGAGGATGCTCTTTCTGTGTAACACACATGTCCAAGGAACAGTATTGTGTTAAAGCCAGTAAGCATCACAAAAATTCATTTTCTTTAATGAGAGGACAAAATGAGCCAATCTTTCTGGGACACTTTCTCAAAAAATCGTCTCCTGTTACATTAAAAAACACCAAAAACTGACCCATCTCTGAACACATATTCCTGTGAACATCACTGCTTTTTCACTGGAAATGTGGAAAACTTCCCTCAACACTTCACCTTCACCTCAAACGTTTTCAGACAGCATATACAAAACCAGCATCTGAGCCATTGAAGGCTTTGCAAAGGTTTTTTCTCCATCACTTTGGTGCCTTATCTTCTCAGGTTTCCACTTCTACGTTAAGACCCCTATAATTCACACTCTTCTTATCTCAATGCCATACTCCGGGTATTCTTTTGAGAGTGCTTAATATTATTACACAATTCTTTGAAGTATTTATCCCCCAAAACTGACCATGTACTCTTCCACACCTTATTCTAGGTAGGTTGTATCATTTCTATACCAGAATAACAGACTTCTTTACCATCTTTCTACTCAAATCCATTTACTCATAAAAAGTTCATCCTATAGAGAAAACAAACAAACAAACAAACCAGAAACCAAGAGAAGCAACACGAACCCCAAATGGTCAGAGACAGAGAGGTTTTTATTTTCTTTATAGAATGAAAACCAAATTATGGAACCACAATGGTATAAATACAGCCTTACTTGTTATCAGTTTTAGTCTATCTTTCTGTGCTTTGCCTAAGTCAATAAAATTGGTTTGAGCATAGGAACAGAATTTGAAAAATTTAATCCACATATTTATCTAGATATAATAGGTATAATGCAATGCTTAGATATACTTTTTTAAAACACTATTTATCTTATTTCAGGGTAGAAAGTGTATCTACTCCTCAAAATCCCTGACTCCAGCTATTGTGTAAATGCGCAGAGTTGGCCTGCCTTTTACATCTCTGTTTAAATAATCCCAGATGACCTCCAGTTTTACTGCAAATTAAATATTTATACTTGCAGGCATTTACACATTCACACGAAATAAGAAACAGAGAACTGGAGTAAAATTCCTGTGACAGCCTTATAGAAGGCAATCTTATCATGCTGTGGTGTGCTATGTTATGCTGTAAAATAATAAATGTAAAAACATAATATAATATAAACAACTTCCAAAACTTGCATTATTGAACACCAGAGCATTTTGCCCTCATTTCCTTTCCAGTTTAAATGTATTCGTGGACAGTTTGTTCCCACTTGTTCTTGAGCCAATACTATTCTTTAACCTAAACACTTCCTTCCTGTCTCCGGCTTTACCATCCTGATGTATTTAAAGACAGCAATCTTATCCCTGCTCTGCTTTTGTTCTGCTAAAATTCTAAGCTCTTTCAGCATCCTTTCATGAAATAGACTCTTCCTTCCCCTGAGAATCATAACAGCCTGTTTCTTGCACTTTTTTAAATTCATTTCTCCTGACTATGAATGAGGAATTGAACAATATTCCAGATCAGGTCTCATCCAAGCCTGCCACAGTCGCATTAATATTCTCTCTTCCTCCACTGGAAATGCCTCCCCTGACATACCCCAGTCTTTTACTAGCTTTTTTCACCATCACTTCACAATGGCAGCACACAAATTATCCCGTGATTGATGAATGCACTCAGATGCACTTCCTTCCCATAGCATCCCATTGATAAGCACTAAGATTATTACAAGGGATGTGTTTTACTTCGTTTATTAGCCTTTAATAATTAAAGTCCTTTGTACTTCACAATTTTATATGCTATTCTATTTATGTTACAGCAATTCTGATGCCAAGTATCTCTGAGTTAACATCCTTTTAGTACTCCATGTTAAAGTACTTGCCATTTTCAAATATTCAACACATCTCATTAGAATATTTCTACTTTTTGAGTGAAGTCACAACAGCAAAGGATGTGCATCTTGAAAATTACTCTTTAATAATTTCATTCTTAATACTTAAGCTGAAGACTTTTGGGTTCAACATTACCCATTTCTTTTTCTCTTGTTAGATGTACTCACTTTAAACCTTTTGTATTTATCTCATTTTTTCCTAGCCAATCTCTATATGGAATAATTGTGACCTTTATTAAAAAGTGAATTATGTAATGATACAGATCGATTAGATCTTTTAAAATCTTTCTATTACAAAACCCAATTAGTTTTTAAAGAAAGATATCATTTTAGTTTGGCCTAATCTCCTTTTTTTCTGAAACCTGTTTTTTGTTATCCCATTTCATGTTTTCCTCTTTTTTTTTCCTTCAAATCTTCTAGTCATCCAAATCAGTCCACTACCAATTCCACAATCCTAACATGTATTCACTTACCATACAATATTTTTCTCCTCCACTCTTCGACTCCCCCTCTCCCTCTTTCTAATTTTACCAATGTCTCAAATCCTTACCACTAGATTTACCACTTATTTAAAATTTATCTGAAATTATCTCTCCCCAATACAATTTTATCTTGAATTCAGTTGAATATTATTCCATTTCTACTGTCTTATTTCCCACAGCATGCAGGCAGCATCACCACTGCAAAAAAAAATAAATTTGACCAGCCATTCACTTTATATTGAGATTTATTAGATTTGCTCTGTCCCTTCCCTGTCCTTATCACACATCAAAGCCCTATTCTACCTTCATTCTCCTCCCTTGTACTTGTTTTTTTTTGTTTTTTTTTTTCTTCTGTAGAACATTATCACAGTTCTTAGCATGTATATTTTGTTGTTCAAAAATATGAGGAATTTCTGCAACAGAAAAAAATTTGTAGCCAAATGAAATTTATCTTTCTACATGGATTTTCCAGTCCTTGCTGCTGACTCTGAGTGCAAGGGATAAACTGAGCACTCAGATGTATTGTCCACAATCTAAATTCATGCTCTGTGTAAGATGTGAAGACTGCTACTATCACATGCATCTGTACTTGCTAAAAACTGCAACACAGAGGATTTTTCAAGGTGATTTTCTCATAAGAGTTTTTCAGACCAAGCTGTTGCCCACTCACTACCTAAAGGAGCAGTGGAATGAGCTCAGTAACGCAGTCAACAGGACTTCGAATCCATAATGCACTGCACTACTCAAAAACGCTTGTTGGTTTCCATCCTGTAACAGTGTGCAGATAGTTTGTTTCAATTAACTCTGTGTTGCTGAGCTTTAGAAACATAAAAATACTTCTTAACTCTTTCCTCTCCTTCATGGAAGGTGGGGGGTGAGGGGATGGAGCTGGGTGGAGGAGCCAAAACTGCCTAGATATAATTTTTTCATTTCAGGTACAACTCCATCCAATCATGCCCAGTGTGACAGATGGCTGATGCTAGGCTTGCTTCTGGATTTTTTGTGGAAGGTGTGAGCAGACACTGAACACCCCTAAACTCCACAAATTAATAGAAAGTTATTTTGTGCTGTTCCAATGGAGAGCACTGTTCAAATACTACAGTCCTCTGAGACGAGCTGTATTTACAGAAGTCTGTGGAACTGCTGAGAGTGCCACTGTTTAAAAATTTACACCATCCTCCACTCGTACCTCAGCAAATCCACATTTTAGAAATTAATGAAAAAAATAATAAAGGCTCCAGTTTTCCTATGTTAGCCTTGAGGGCCATATATATTAATAGCTGCTATACCTTTTTTTTTTTTTTCTGTGAGATGCTGAATTATTTGGACATGCTGTAAAGCTATCTGGCACTTTGTGACCTAATAGAAAAGCAAACATTAAGAATTTACTATTATACAACAGTAACCTGGAGAGATAAATACTCTGCTGAGAGGGAAATGTAAGCTGCAGAAAATTAATAATAGCAATTGCTGTATGAAAGAAGAGTGACCTACTCACAGCTAAAATTTCTTTCTCTCTTGTCTAGCATTTCACAGTCTCCCTTATCTCCTTCCAGCATGGAGCTACATATTTCTGCTTTCCTGGCTTGTATGCACAGGCTTTTAACCCTTTAAATGTGGCATACTCAAACAAACCAGAATAGGGTGTTTTGGAAAAGATTACATCTTCTCTCAAGTCAATAGATTGAATGATGTATTACTTTTTTTTCCTATTCTGTTACTCTCTTGATTTTAAAATTGATGTATATTATAAGTACATCTATAGGGAGGATGGTAAAACAACTATGGGATATGATTATGTGTGTAGGAAGAAATATGGCATAGACATGTGGAATGCCACAAAAGATGGAAAAGTGAAGAATGAGAAAATACTTCCCTGCATTTAGAGCATTTGGTGTACAAAAGATTTGTCTGGGATGTCACATTTTTGTGTCTGGCCTAAATAGGCCAGATAAAGGTATAAACTAGTTATTTATGGTTATGAATACCTTCATAAAAATTGTTTATTGTTTTTCTTTTTTCATCAGAAATATTTAACTCTCTATCAGCACTCACAGATAGATTTTTAGAAAATCATAGACATCATGTGCTGAATGCACATCAGGATAACCAAAAGCAAGACATTTGCAAAAAGATTGATGTGCCTGATACTATTATCACCTAAGAATAAAATAAAAATTATGGAAAAAAAATGTAGAGTGTCAACCCACTTTTCTTCCTTTGTTGCTGCTGCTGATTGTTTCCTTTCAGTATCTTGTCACTTCATCCTGGGTCACGTGCATTACCACTCTCATCCAAATGCTGTGCAAAGCCAGAGGCAATACAAGGGAAATGGCAGAGGTCCATCTTTTAATATTTTGCTTTTGCCTTCATGGAACAGCATCATCATGATACAGCCTGCAGTAAGGAGATCAGCAGTGCACTTAGAGCCCACTTGGGTCAATGTCCCTCCCACTGGCTGGGAATGGCATCTCAGGAGTCAGTCCCAGGAAATGGTTTCCCACCACTGAAAACTGTCTTGAATGAAGTGTGATCTGATCAGCTTGGGATAATGCAGTCATGAATACAAAAGAAAGAAAGATGGAAATGCATTAAAATGTTTTTTACTGCAGTTTACCAGAGCTCTGATGGTAAAGTAATCTTGTAAGTGAGCACATTATTTAGACATTCCCTAGGATCAGTAATCTTAAGCAGAAGTTTGCCTGCAGCTTCAGTGATCCTCCTGTGATCCTGATGATAAGTCACAGATTAGTGAGAACTGAGCTCTTGCTCTTCCTGGGTGACAGGTTCATTTGATATTATCTTGTGAAACATACTTACATTTTGTACTTCTTATTTCCCTTTCTATCAAAATGATTATAATTCTTTAGTTCATCACTGTAACATTGTGAGACTAAGACTGAAGATCTGAGGTGTTTGAGTAAGATAGCCATATATGAAAGATCCCAAGATATGACACTAGAAAAATAGATCCAGCCATCAAAAGGCAAAAACTGAGAAGTTTCTGTTTCAGCAGAAGTGCACATGAAAATGGGGGATGTGTCCACATTCAGAAAAAAACATTAAACTACAGCCTGAGGTTATTGCAGTCTATCCTCAACCACACTTTCTGGAAGATGTGGGAAAAGCTTATGGATATGTGGATACTTCATTAAAGACATACTCATGAAAAAGATTTAGAAGACCTTTTGTCGTCCTTTAAATCTTGGACACAAGGTGAAATCTCATCTTTACAGACAATAATCAAAGCTTTTCGTGATTAAAAAAAAAAAAAAAAAGCAGGAACTAAACCTTCGGGGGTAAAACTGTGAGGCTAATAGGCGTTATCTCCATCAAAACACAGGCTTTGCTTCTGTAGTTCTGTATTTTCAGGGTCAAATGTGTTGTTTGAAAGATATTCAAAGGAGATAAATAAAGTCATCTATTTCAAGTCTAAGTAAGAAGAATTTAACTTCTAAGAAGTCTGAAGAATGCTTTGGAGGATCAGGTGAAAGGTTTAAGTTATCTTCTGATTTACCACACTTAATATGAATAAGACAGAGAGTTTAAAATTATCATAATGCCCAGCTGCACTTTCTCTCTAGTGTTAATAGGGCCATTGATCCTTAGGACAATTGAACTGGACTTCACAGAAATCAGAAATATTGCCATTTGGGTCAGTGGCAGTACTCTTACGTTTTATTCTGAATGTCACACTGTTTACAAATCAGCATCTGTGAGTTCTTGCCTCACGTGGAAATG